TCACCTTCAGGTCGAAGATTGTCGTCGTGCTTAATTGGTGTTCTTCTTTCAGCAGGACCAACTTTCGTTGGAGTCGGTCTTTCAAAGTCACCTTCAGGGCGAAGATTATCTTCAGGTCTTTTAGGTTGAGGTCTTTCAGCCGGTCTATAATGAGGTTTTTCAGGACGTTCAAAGTCACCTTCTGGTCGAAGATTGTCTTCAGGACGTTTTTGCTTGGGTCTTTCAGCGGGACGATATTCTGGTTTTTCAGGACGTTCAAAATCACCTTCAGGACGAAGATTATCATAATGTTTAATTGGTGTTCTGCGTTCTGCTGGCCCAATTTTCGTAGGAGTTGGTCTTTCAAAATCTCCTTCTGGTCTCAGATTATCTTCTGGACGTCTTTGTTTCGGACGTTCTGCTGGTCTGTACTCTGGTTTTTCTGGCCGTTCAAATTCTCCTTCCGGTCGAAGATTATCGTCATGTTTAATAGGTGTTCTTCTTTCAGCAGGCCCAATCTTCGTTGGAGTCGGTCGTTCAAAGTCACCTTCAGGACGAAGATTATCTTCTGGTTTCTTCTGTTTTGGACGTTCAGCAGGACGATATTGTGGTTTCTCCGGCCTCTCAAAATCACCTTCAGGCCTCAAATTATCTTCAGGGCGTTTCTGTTTTGGACGTTCAGCTGGGCGATATCCAGGTTTCTCTGGACGTTCAAAATCACCTTCTGGTCTTAAATTGTCTTCAGGACGTTTCTGCTGTGGACGTTCAGCAGGCCTGTAACCAGGTTTTTCAGGTCTTTCAAAGTCACCTTCAGGCTTCAAATTATCTTCAGGGCGTTTTTGTTGTGGACGTTCAGCAGGCCTAAAACTAGGTTTTTCAGGCCTTTCAAATTCGCCTTCAGGCCTCAAATTATCTTCAGGGCGTTTCTGTTTTGGACGTTCAGCTGGGCGATAACCAGGTTTCTCTGGACGTTCAAAATCACCTTCTGGTCTCAAATTATCTTCAGGTTTTTTAGGTTGTGGACGTTCTGCAGGCCTATATCCAGGCTTTTCTGGTCTTTCAAAGTCGCCTTCAGGTCTAAGGTTATCATGGTGTTTAATTGGACTTCTGCGTTCACCAGGCCCAACCTTGGTTGGAGTCGGTCTTTCAAATTCACCTTCTGGACGAAGATTATCTTCTGGTCTTTTTTGTTTAGGTCTTTCAGCAGGTTTATATTGCGGTTTTTCCGGACGTTCGAAATCTCCTTCAGGCCTCAAATTATCCTCAGGCTTTTTCTGTTTAGGCCTTTCAGCTGGAATAAATTTCTCTGGAGTACGTTTCTCGAAATCACCTTCCGGTCTTAAATTATCTTCCGGTTTCTTCGGTTTAGGACGTTCAACAAATTTAGGAACAAAATCGTCCTTTGATTTTGGCACTCCTTCAAATGGTCCTTCCGGCCTGAGGTTATCTCTATGAACAACAATTGTTTGACGAACGTCTTGGTTATTGAACTGTTTGTAAACTTCTTGTGTAGTTGTTGTCGTTTCAGTATTTTGCGTTGAATAAAATTTATCCACGTCATCTTTTGTCCAAGTTCTTCGACGTCTTTGTTCGTATTCTGGTGTTTTTTCAGTATAGTCTAATGTTGTTGAAGTATCGAATGTCATGTCGCCCTCAACAGTGAGATTATCTCGACGTCTTTTTACAAGTTGCGTTCTTTCAACAACAGTGCTGTAATCAACAAATTCCGATTTATTGGTCGTATCTGTGGTAAATTCGCCTTCAATTTTTGTCCAAGTGTTGCGCCGAATAGGGCTAGGTCTCGGTACTAACTCGCCATTAAAATCAACTTTAGTGGTAGTTTCATCTAGAAAAAAAAATCTTAGAAACCTACAAATCAAGAAACAACTCAAATCTTACCTATAAATTCACCTCCGATAGTAATGTTGTCTTCATGTCGCTTAATATCGGCGCGTTCTCCCCGAATCACACGGTAATCTTCAATAATGGTCCTAGTCCCAGTGAATTCACCTTCAGGTTTCAAATTATCTTGAGGTTTCTTCGCCACTGGTCTCTCCCCCGGTAGATATTTCTTAGGCTCGGGTCTTTCAAAATCACCTTCAGGTTGTAGGTTATCTTTAGGTTTAGTGGCCTTAGGTCTCTCAGCTGGTTTCCATTGCTCAGGCTCAGGAATCTCAAAATCCCCTTCCGGTTTCAGATTATCCTTAGGTTTCTTCACTGGTTCTCGTTCACCCGGAGCCCATTTTTCAGGCGTCCGCTTCTCAAACTCGCCTTCAGGACGCAAATTATCGGTGGGTTTCTTCGGTTTTGGTCTTTCTCCCGGGGACCATTTCTGAGGTTGGCGTTTTTCGAAATCTCCCTCTGGGTGGAGGTTATCTTCTGGTTTTTTGACAGGGGCTCTTTCGCCAGGTTTCCATTCTTCCGGTTTGCGTTTTTCAAAATCACCTTCCGGTTTGAGGTTGTCTTGGGGTTTCTTAACGGGTGCTCTGTCCCCAGGTTTCCATTCCTCCGGGCGGCGCTTCTCGAAATCACCCTCTGGTCTTAGGTTGTCTTCCGGTTTTCTCACCGGGGCCCTCTCTCCAGGTGCCCAAGGTTGTGGTTTCCTCTTCTCGAAATCACCTTCCGGTTTGAGGTTGTCTTGGGGTTTCTTAACGGGTGCTCTGTCCCCAGGTTTCCATTCTTCAGGACGTCTCTTTTCAAATTCTCCTTCAGGTTTCAAATGATCTTGTGGTATTTTCACAGGGACTCTTTCGCCAGGTTGCCATTTTTGGGGTTGGCGTTTTTCAAATTCACCCTCAGGTTTTAGGTTGTCTTTAGGTATGATTATTGGGGCTCTTTCGCCTCTAGTTGCGTTGTACTCGTCTTTAGGTTGACCTAGAAATGGGCCGTCTAGGTGCAAGTGGTCGTTGTACTCGTCTGGGTTGTGAGGACACGTGTGACGTCTAAAAAGATTTTTTAATTAGTATTTTTCCATGTTTATACACTTTAATAAATATGCACAATCCAAAATAATAATAAGTAGATGTAATTATTAATTAAATTAAAAATTAAAGTCAATAAAACTTTCTTCTTTTTCTTTTGACAAACACTGATCAGAAAATGGATTTAAAAAAATAGACAAAAGAATAGAAAAACAATAAAAAGAATTTTTTTTAAACTGAAAATTTATTAATAATAATTGGTGGAAATAGTACAAAACTTAAAAAAAAATTACTTGTGTCATTTTTAATGCCCAACAAGGTGGTAAA